ATGAAACTGCCTGAGAATAGAGATTCCAGCAACCAGAGGCATGAGCCGATTGATAAGATATCTATGGTTGGTTCAGGTGGAAATGCGATCTACACCGAAGAGCAAGTGGTTGTCAGTACGAGACATGTGGAGAAAGGTTGCTCGTATAATACCGTTTTGTATAGAAAATGACTTGAGTTTTCAGGGTTGGATAATCTAGTGACGTGTATGAATTGGATTCAAGAGGCTGAGAAAGCATTTGATTCCGGCGAATGCTAAAAGGCCCAACTCTTGGGTGATTGAACATCACCAAGTCCACCCTTGGAGCTACCATTATCCTATTGTTGACTTGGAAAATGTCCAAAAGAAAATTAACGGAGGAGCACTATAACGAGCCAGAAATTTACCGGATTGAACATGAATTTCGGGCTCTCAAGAAAGGGAGCATGTTAGTAAGAGAGTATTCTCGTCTCTTTGTTGAGAAGCTTGATGTGGTAGGTCATGTGGCCTTAAGTGAGAAAGCGAAGGTAAAGGCCTACCTCAAAGGCTTGTCGGCTTACATGATGGCCATGGTCCAAAATGTTAAGGCCTCCAACCACCATGAAGCAATTAAGGAGGCACAACTCATGGAAGACGTTTATGCTCAAAAGAAGTAGGAGATGACCGTGGTTGGAGAGAAGAGGAGATGGGAAGGAAATTATGGAACCTTCAAGAAAGCAAGACCCTTTAACCAAAACCGTGGAACCGACTTTAGACTTAAGGCGTGGTGGTGTCCCAAGTGTCGAAGTAAGCACTTTAATCCGTGTCACACAAAATTTGAGCCTTGTTACAAGTATGGGAAGTCCGGTTACGCTTTGAGTGTTTGTCCAAAGAAAGGGCTAATCTATTTTGAGTGTAAGGAGTTGGGCCATTTTAGACATGAATGCCCGGAGCTAGCAACCAGAAGTAACCAAGGAAAGAAAGAGAACCCTCTAAAAGTTCAAGGGCGAACTTTTCATCAATCCATTTTGATGATTAAGAATATTATTTATTTTGATGACTAAAAATGTTATCTCTCAAGGTAAATAAGAATGATGGCTTTTACAGTAGACATTTATCTGATGAACATTTGGTAAAATTGTCCGTTAAAAAAAGAGAGTAAACTACAATTTTGGTCCATGTAGTAAACCAATCTTCGAAAGTGGTTCTTAAACTTCAATAATTACAATTATCGTCCCTACTGTTCACATTTTGTTCTGAAAATGGTCCTTAATCACTAACTTCGTTAGATTAGTCCATTAAATAAGGATTATATGTCCCTTTACCCTTTTCTGTCTTTATCTCAAAGACTAAAATTATAGTTTACCTTTTTACTACACACAATATATTTATTTATATTTGTATTTGTATTTACATTTACATTTACATTTACATTTACGTTCATATTTGCATTTGCATTTTATTATAAAAAGTAATTATAACCAACTTTTTAACCATATCCATATGATTATTTCAATCTAAAGATTTGGATGAATTATTCGGGTTCTTTTTCAAGTTTCTCTCTTGATGAAAAAAACAGATGAGAAAATATATCAAACAGATGAGAAAATATATTAAAATGAATGTCAAATTATAGATGATAAAGTGATCGTTTTCTTTGTGTAATTTGTTTCTCTCAAATTTTTATTATATTTCGTCGATTTTCGATTTAAAAATGGTGTTATATATATATATATTTTTAAAAGTGGCTATAACCACATTTTTAACCTTCTCCGTTAGATCATATCAATCTAACGGTTTGAATAGGGTTTTCAGTTCCTTTTTCTTCAATGTTCTTTCCTGATCTCATCTTATATTTAAAGAAAAAATGGTGTTTTTTTTATGGTTTCCTGGTTCCTTTCTTTTTCAAATTCTCCGTTGGTGTTTCCCCTAAATATAAAGATGAGATTAGGAAAGAACCTTGAAAAAAATATCGAAGAACCCATTTAAACATTTAGGGGCTGTTTACCAAACGTTTACCCGGGTAAACGCTTACCAAGTAACATTACCTCAACGGATGAATATAGTAAGGACCAAGAATCTTATCCGGTAAGAGCGAGATAAGGATCAAGAGTCTTACCCGGTAAGTGAGGGCGATGACTCTTACCACGGTAAGTGCTTACCGGGTAAATTATTGTATACTATGTCATTTTGGTGGACTAAAATATTACCCGGTAAGTACATAATAGTGTTAAATTTTACCGATAAGCACTTACCGGATAAGTGTTTGATAAACGGCCTCTTAGACTGAAATGATCTTAGTAATATGGTTAAAAAGATGGTTGTAACCACTTTTTTAAAAATATAATATAAATGTAAATGCAGATGTAGATGTAGATGTAGATGTAGATGTAGATATAGATATAGATATAAATTATGTGTATGTGTGATTATATATATATATATATATGTATATATATATATATATATATACTAGGTTCGGACCCGTGTATTACACGGGTTAATGACAAAAATTAAGCGAAATTGATATGTATTCTATAAAGAATTAATAATCGGAGGTAATTTATAAACTTAGACAAATGTACAAGTCTGATTAAATTTTTGATATAAAGATGCTCTTACTCGAGAATTAAATGTTACATATACAAAGGACGACATGTGCTTCGATGATCAGAAAAACTTCTAAATGAAGACGAACAATGTAGATCCAATATGCAACAATGTGTAGTACATGCAAAGTCTTTGTATACCTCTGTATGAGACAAGAAAAGGGAATCAAAGGTTCTGGGTAGTACATGCAGAGATAGAACTCTTACTCAAGACACCTGCAGAACCTCTGTTAAGCTCTGTATGAAGAATAGAATCAGGCTTCAAGGACACAAGCGTAAAGAAAGTTTCCAGAGATTAAGACGAAAACTATTCAGAGTTACAAGTCTGAAGGCCATCTTCGGAGTAAGAGACAGAGCCTCGACGCATTACGTGAAGAGATAGAGCTCTTTCTCAAGACTTAAATGCAAAACCTCTGTGCAACTCTACATGAAACACGGAGTCTGGTTCAGATTGAGCGCATAGCACGTGCATAACCTCTGTATGAAGGACGAAATCAGGCTTGACAAACACAAGGGCTAAGAAATCCTCCAAAGTTCAAGACGGACAATATCTAGCGTTGCAAGACTTCTAAATCAAGACGACCAATCTGGCTACAAGTGTGAAGTTCTTTTCAAGAGTTAATTGCTAAAATTAGCCAATGCTACAAGTTTGTATAAATTTTTCGTGGACAGAGGCTCTGTATTGTAGATGTAGAGCAGTTGTGTAGCTCTGCATGAAGCACGGAATCATGCATAGAGGTGTTGCGTGGTTTCTGCAATACCTCTCTAAAGCTCTGTATGAATTACGGAAGTTTGGTCAGAGACTTTGCGTAGTACATGCAGTCCCTCTCTAAAGGTCTGTATGAAGCACGGAGTCCGGGTGAGAGAATTTGCGTAGCACATGCAGATCCTCTATGGTCGGATAATTATAATGCAGAACATAAATGAAAAATGAGCCTCTTAAGAATCAATAATAATATGAGTTAATAAAATGAAGTTGTAAAACAATATTTATAACACAATATAAACTGAACAAATATAAGGTAAATATGTAAAACATTAATAAAATAAGAACCATGTATCATATATTACTAAACACTTCTTTGTATACAACATTCGTTATTTTACTGTCAATAATACCATCATCATCCATAATTAGTACTTTCAAACCTTGCTTACTTTTGACTCTGAATAAAGCAACATATAATTGACCATGTGTGAAGACCAGTTGTCTTAGAAATAAACCAACTTTTGATAATGATTGTCCTTGACTCTTATTAAATGAGAAAAACTTTGGACATTAACTCTGAACATTAACTCTGGAACACAAGAATTCGGAATTCTATTGTTAGGCTGGAAAATAACCCTGGACTTAACTCTGAATAAGAGAAATTCAGAGATGTCTTCTAAGTCTAGAAAGTATCTATGAGCATAACTCTGAGTCACAAGAATTTTGACTTCTTATAACTCAGAAACGTAACTCTGAAGAGGAGTTTAGAGTTGTATTCTAAGTCTGGGAATAAACTATAAAACTAAGTTTGTAACAGAACAATTCAGAGTTATGTTGTAAGTCTGAGAAATAACCAATATCTGATGACTTCATGTTGATGATTTGTATCACTAATGTCATTTAAGTGTAATGAGATTAAATTGTTGACCAATTTAATCATGATAAATATTGAACAGGTAAGACATGTGTGGAGTGCACATTTGTTTGAGTTTATTTTGATTTAGGGATGAAGCCCCTAACAAAAGGGGTCCGGGGGCAGCGCCCTCGGTGGCAGGGTCCAAGGGGCAGAGCCCCTGGCTGGGGTTGAGCTACTAGGTCAACTTGGAATTTTTTTTCCCGGGTAATATTGCTTTGTGAAAAATGCTTCAAAAATCCGAATTTGAAATTTTAAACCCGGTTTTGATGACCACTTCAGAGTTAAATTCAGACGTGAATTTTTCCAGAGTTAAATTCGGACGTGAATTTTTCTAGAGTTATGTTGTAAGTCTGGGGGCTGTAAGTGAAAATTGTGTTCAGATACATGTTTAGACGGAAAAAATCAATAACCATCGCATAGAAACATGACACGTGTCCCCACAGTTACTTATTTATTAGATATATAGATATATTATGTGTGTATATGTATTGTTATATATAAATAGTGAAAAAATTAAAAGGAAAAAGGTAAACTACAATTTTGGTCGTGACATAAAGATAAAAAAGGGTAAAAAGACCCATATAACCCTCACTTAACGGATTAATTCAACGGAGTTAATGAGCAGGGACTATTTTTAAAGCAAAATGTAAAATATAAGGATGATAATTGTAGTTATTGAAGTCTAGGGATAACTTTTAAAGATTGGTGTAAACCACAGGGACCAAAATTGTAGTTTACTCATAAAAGATTCATCCATTTTGTTTTCTTTTTCTTTTTTCTGTCAAAACATTTCGACTCCCGATCGGTGGGATTAAGGCGGACAGAAAGACGGGTGCACTCCGTTCGTTCCTTGCCAAGATCGGCGGCAAGCAAATGGATAAAGGGGCTAACAGCGGCGGTGGAGGTGGAGGTGGTTACTGGTGGTGGGCCGCCGCCAGCGGTATCCAACTGGTTTGGGGCATATACTCCTTCCGCAAAGGCTACTCAGGCGACTCACGACTCATGCCCCTCAAAGCTTTTGGCGTAGCATCTCTATTTGTCGGCGCCACCGCCACCGCCACTGTCGGAACTATTAGTGCCTCCGGCATCCACTCGGTACGATTCCTTCCTCTAAATTACGATTGTTATCAGAATATTCGAAGATCGTATAGCTTGGCAAAATAATTGGTACATTTTAGGTCATCCGTCACCCGATTTTTCTATAAATCATAAAAATGAGATGTACGAGAATAGCACTTCATCTTGGCCATAATAGTCAAGAGAAAATTGATCACAGTATCTTGATTCCTTTGGAAATTTGGAGAATTTTCATTATAATTTTAGGTCAGATTTCTGCGGTAAATTGAATATTATCATCTCATTTCGTCAGTAAATTGACACCTACCATGGTAATTTGGCCGTAGTCTTCTTCTTCGTGCTTGTCTCATGGATTGATTCTTATTGAAATTGATCTTTTAGTGTTGATAAAAACTATATGAATTGCAATTTCTAAGTACGATAAGCATGGATTCGTCTTATGGCAGTAAAACTTGTTGATAATTATGACTATATTGTGACCCCATTTTTCTTAACTGACTATGTTCACCTAAGTTTCTATATCATACTCATCACAAAACACCATGATTGTTACCCTAATCTATTTTGCTATTTAAAGGCTTTACTCAAGCTATCTGTTGTCTATGAAAGTGTGAATAGTAAAACTGTAGAAGGATTTCTGTGTGCACACACTATTGGGATTCTTCTGTGATATCGTAGCAACTTTAGTGTTTTCTTAGGCAAAAGAAACAAACACTAAAGTGGCTACAATAGAAGCAACTTTAGTGTTTGTCTTGCATTTTTTCAATAACGATAGTTTTTTTTTTTGTAACGATAACCAAGTACAATGACTAGAAAAGTTAATCGCTACTAGCCTCCTACTTGAAACAACAAATTTCAGTCTAACTCCGTTAATAAATAAATAAAAACCAAGCTGTATCCCATCTGCACCGGCACCTGTACCTGGTATGAATATGGCACCCTGACTTGAGTATCATACAAGTCAACTGCTTGTTGATTGTCCCCAAACACCATGTCCTCCCTCTGTCCACCGATCAAGTAATCAACCACTGACACATCATTACTTTACTAAAAGAGAAAGATGAATTAACTAAGGGTACATAGAAAAAGTAATGATGTGTCAGAGCTTAATTGGTGGGATGGGTGATTTGTATTCGTTGATAAGCAAATGCACAAACATACACTATTATGCTACATTTCAAAGAAACTTTTTTTTTTCGGGGTATCAGGATGCAATAACAAATCGACTTTTGATAATGTTGTAGGTAAAGGATGCCGTGGAAGTTGGTGCGAGTATAAGGTCTGGACTCGGAGTCAAGGGCAGGGGATGATTCTTTTTTGCGTTATCACCATGGAAGTTGCAAGATTTTGGTTAATTACTTAAAATCAGGTACACGATGAATAATAATAATCTTCTCATTGGTCTAAACTCTCTTTTCTGGAAGAAGTCCAAGAGCAACAACTTCGATTTCGCTTGCTTGCGCATAGGAAACAGGGCTGCAAAGTGTTTTCACTTTTCCATGAGTACCATAGGTTATTTCTGATAATAACTTACCGACATTTTTTAGATACATGACCCTCTGACAGATTTTGAAGCATTCTTGTGGAGGAGACATTCTTTTGTTAGGCAGATAAGGGACCGTTTGGTTTGATGGAATGGTTTTGAGCGATTTGGATTTTATGAAAGGATTTGTAGTCTTTAGTGTGTTTGGTTTTTAGGGTTTGTAATGAAATTGATTAATTTTTTATAAGTAATTTATAAAAATAGTTTATTATCTTTTTATTAATTTAACAAATGTTTTTAACATATTTTAAAACATTACTACATCCAAATCTTACGAAATCCCATAAAATACCAATCACTCCCGTGGGATTTCAAAATCCCATGTTTGTGGGATTTCAAAATCCCATGTTTGTGGGATTTCAATGAAATCTAGGGATTTCAATCCATGTAATCCCTCAAGCCAAACATGGGATTGGAATGGAATTGAATTCCAAATCCTATCCAATCCTACAAACCAAACGGGACCTAAGTTCTTATATCTGTTGTAAGGTCATGCATTTAAAAAAAACTGATAGAAAGTTGCTAGAGACCTACCTAGTGTTATTTATTTTGTTTCGAGCTGGTATAGGTTTTGATTCTGATGAAACTCCGTGAGTTCCTTTTGATGCTTATCGGTGAACAAACGAATCTCTTCTTGAATTGTTGGTCTGATTCATTTCGCAATCTTTTTGGTTGTTGTCGTATTCATTATCTGTTTTTGGGTCGTAGTGTTGTTTGTCCCTGGATTACGGAGATGCCATTGTCAAAATGAAAACTGAAAAGGGAAAGAAAATGGCGAAAACAAGTGGATTATGTCGAAGATAAAACCATCAATTTGGGTGTGAAATCGTTGGTAAGTTGATGTTCATGACTTAGATTTGTTTACAAAGAGCAAATTGCATTAACATGGAACATATTTTGCTTATATTTTGAGCCGAAATAAACATTTCAAGCAGTTAGGGTCAAGGTTACCTGATTGTTGATGTGGCTTCGATAAATCTGATATGACATGTTATTTGTTTTTTAAAGGATAACTAAGAGGTTGTTTGACAGTTGTTGAATGGTTTAGTGCAGAATGATTAAGAGACTCTCATGATATAGTGCAAAATGAAATATAATTGTTTGGTAATTGTTTACAATGAAATTAGGGCGCTTAATGGTTAAAGGAGGTCCAGGATAAAAAATCTTTCAGGGGGTTTTATAACCATTAAGAGGCAGTTTTTTTCGCCAAACGAGATTCACCTCTTAACGATTCAGAGGCTACCTCTTAATGAAACTATTAAAAGGTAAACAAATAACCTCTAAGCCGTTTACCAACACAAGCTAAGTGCTTAACCGGTAAGAGTCACCTCTCTCACTTACCTTACCGGTAAGATTCTTGGTCATCAAAATAGCAATAGTATAAGCGTCTCTTACCCGGTTAAGAGTCACCACCTTCATTTACCGGTAGACATGGGCAAATAAAACCGCATTTCATAACCCGGTTACTGGTGTAATTGGTTACCAGGTTTGCCCATGTCTACTTACCGGTTAAGATTGATTGTCAGTGCGTAAGATTGTTGGTGAAGATAAGTATTTCTTATCCGGTATGTCAATAAACGTTAGTTAACCGGCAAGAGACGAAGCCGTAATCAGTAACAACCACCAATGTTTCTATCCAATTGGGACTATGATGTTGCCCTTCATATCTATGTGGGATTTGAAGATTTATATGTGATTTTGCATCAATGTTGGAAATTAGGATGAACTTTTCAATTGTAATTATAATGAATTTTACAAATACTATTCTCTGCATTGGATCCATTTTTATGAACATGTTTGTTCTTTTGGTTGCATATATGTATTTCTTGAACATCTACAACTTATGCACTTATTCAACTTGATGAACATCTACATTATATTTTTTTTTCTTTAATTTGTCTCGAAATACACTCTACATTCAGAAATAATGTGTGCTTTCCAATTCTTCTTGGAATAAGTTAGGTAGCGGATCACGAAATCGAGCGAAAAGGGTTTTCCATGAGATGGGAAATGAAAACTATTAGCCCCACACGAAGTTGGGTAGTTGTAAATAGCCCCAGGGCTATTGAACAAAGGAGTATCAAAGATTTGACCTTTTCGAACTGTGTCTGTAACTCACTAGAGGCCCCTCACGACGTTTTGAACCCAATTCACGTACCGTTTTAATGGGTAAACAGCCCAATCCTTGGAACATACTACAGTCCCAGGTGGCGAAGAGGGATATACAAATTAATAATAGATTTGATCTAGATTAAATGAAATCCATGATTTTCCTGCGGGAATGATTTGGAAGAGCCAAAACCATTAGGGATGTATTCAAGACCCTTCCAAGAAAGGGAAGTGATCTATGGGCGATCTAAAAATAGTTTATAGTTATACCTCGTAAAAAAAGACTTTTTCTTTTGTGCAATTAAGCAGTTCCTTTTTTTAGAAAGAAATTATGTTCAAGTAAGCAAATAGAAAAGATGTCATGGTTACAAGAGTCTATCTATCGCATATAGACTTTAAGGGCATCGTGGCCTAACCGTCGAGGTGAATAGAAAAATTCATTGCAACCTCTATTATTGTGGGTAAAATCGTCATTTAGTTAATTAAAATGTGTAAAACAGTTATAAACAATATGAGTTATATTTTCTCTTTCAAATTTAGAGATTTCTCATTTCTATCTTCTATTTTCCTCTATTTTGGAATAGAGTTTAACGTAGCTATTGGAGCAAACTTTTTCCAAATTTCCAAAATTTCTAAAATAGTCGATGCTCTAAAATATTATTTCGAAAATGGTCTAACATAACTACTTTATGTAAACAAATTAAGGCAATGAGCTAACATCTAATGTTATAAAATCATTAATCATCATTTGGGGGCAATTTGTCCAGCTTGAACCTTATATAGTTTCAGTTGTGCCAAACATCAGACAAACAATTGTCATATCTAGTTTTGTTTATCATGTCTGCATGTCCAACACTATTTAAATGTCGTATTTGGATTGTTTTTCTTTGTCAAACTTTAACAAGATTTATCTTGTACCCTTTCTATGTTGTGTTTTCATTGGTATGTGGTATGCTCCTTTTTACTTGGGGGCCGTTTACTAAGCGCTTACCCGGTAAGTGCTTATTTGGTAATTTTCTTACTGGATGAATATGGAAAGGGTCAAAAATCTTACCCAATAAGAGCAATGATAAAGATAAGAGTCTTATTCGGTAAGTCAGGGTGATGACTCTTACCCGGGTAAGCATTTACCGGGTAAATTGTTGTATATGATACCATTTTGACATATTACAATCTTACTCGGTAAAATAAATTAAATGTTGACTCCTAATTGTAAGCGCTTACCAGATAAGCATTTAGGTAAACGATCCCTTGTAAATAAATTCTTGTTAAGATTATCTTCTTTCATTTTTATTGGACAAAATTCAACATAACTTTTGGGATTGATCCAAAATTTAAGCATCAAGTAGCATTACATCATGACATGGTACAAATTCAACATCATCATATATGTATTCATATTTACATTAATAAAAACATGTATGCTCATGTATGTATACATATTCGTGTCAACAAAAACATGTATGTATGTGTGTGTGTGTGTGTGTGTGTGTGTGTGTGTGTGTGTGTGTGTGTGTGTGCGTGCATT